AACCCACAGGCTCAGGCAATCCACTCACCTCAGCCTCCCAAAGGCACGGGATTACAGGCTGAGCCACCGAGCCTGGCTACTTATTTTTTTTTTGAGTGGGAGTTTCACTCCATCGCCACACTCACAGCCACCCCAGCTTCAACCTGCCGGGCTGCAGCAATCCTTCAGCCTCAGCCTTTCAAGTAGCCAGAACTACAGGCATGTGCCACCACACCCGGCTAGTTTTTCTTTTATTGTAGAGATGAGGTCTCACCAAGTTGCCTGGGCGGGTCTCAAACCCACAGGGTCAGGCAATCCACTCACCTCAGCCTCCCAAAGGCGCGGGATTACAGGTTGAGCCACCGAGCCCGGCTTCCTCTGCCCATTTAACAAATGATTTGCACCCAGTACCATGCCCTTTCAGAATTTTTTTTTTTTTGGAGTTGGGATCTCACTGTGCTGGCCAGTCTGGAGTGCAGTGGTACAACCATGACTCACCAGCTAACCCCAGCCTCAGACTCCTAAGCTCAAGTGTTTCTTCTGCCTCAGCCTCCCGAGTAGCTGGGACTACAGGAATGCACCACCACGCTTGGCTAGTTTTTCTGTCTCTTGTAGAGATGAGGTCTTGCTTTGTGCCCAGGCTGATCTTGAACTCCTGACCTCAAGCAATCCTCCCACCTCAGTCTCCCAAAGTGCTGGGATTACTGGCATAGGCCACCATGCCCAGCTCAGAATTTCTTTGAATGGATAGAAAGGCTGGCTTTCTCAACTCATCAGATCCCTTGCTTGCTCCACAGGTGTCATGTTTCAGTCTATTCTCAAACGTCCAGCCACTCTGCAGAGTGAAAGGTGTTCTCCAAGATTATAGTGAAGGGTATGTTCTACAGACGTAAAATGTGAGAGGCCAAGTTCACATCCTGTTGGTGAACAGAAATCTAGATGGAGCTCCTTGTAGCTCAGAAGGAGCACTTATGATCTTTACTTTTTGGGGGGATATTTTTTTCTTTATTGAGAGGACAGAAAAGCTCCCACGGTGGGAGGGGACCCGAGGGGGTTGCCCTATTTTTATCTTTTTAATATTTTCCCCCAAAACCTTTACATCTTCTCAAGCCTTCTTATGAGTAAATGTCTGCCATCCCTCCTCCCACGAACTTCTACCACGCTGCCTGGTGCAGACGATCTTAGCTTGCAGGATTGTCAGGGGACCTGCCACCAGCGGGCTGCTCTTTCCATAAAAGGCCACTGTTGTGCATCTAATGTTAAGAACTCTGTCCTGGCTGGGTTGGGTGGCTCAGCCTGTCATCCCAGCACCTTGGGAGGCCGAGGCGAGGGATTGTCTGAGCCTGTGGGTTCAAGACCAGCCCAGGGAACCTTGGCAAGACCTCATCTCTACAATAAATAAAAAATTTGCCGAGCGTGATATCCTGTGCCTGTAGCTCTGGCTACTTGGAAGGCCGAAGCGGAAGGACCGCCAGAGCCCAACAGGTCAACGCTGAGGTGGCCATGAGCGTGCCACTGCGCTCCAGCCTGGGCAACACAGTGAGACTCTGACTCAAAAACAAAAAAAAAGAACTCTGTCCCTGGGGCTCATCAAGAAGGGGTGGCTGCAAAACACATACTCGAGGAGGTGTTGGACCCAATGGAATGGACGGGTTACTTAAGGCTGACGGTGAAAGCAGTCGATCCCACTTCCTGTCATGAGAATAAATCCTGGTGGGCTGTGTCTTTAGAGAGCGTTAAGTCCTCTTGCTTCTGTAGGTGCTAGAGCCAGACAACGTGAATCCCTAATCGTCGTTCCGAGGTGTTTAGCAAAGAAGCAAATTTTATACATTTTTTTCCAGCAAAATACAGGAGGAAAACACTTTTTAGGAAATGGTGCTAGGGGACAGCCCTGTGTGACACCAGTCAAATTCAGGATTCTGCCTGCCCGAGTTGATTTGCAAGGGCTGCCGCACCACAGACTGGGTGGCTTCAGCAACAGAGATTTATTTGCTCACCATCTGGAGGCTAGAAGTTAGAGATCAAAGCAGGCTTGGTTTCTCTGGAGGACTCTTTCCCCAGCCTGCAGATGGAGGCTTTCTTCCCGCATCCCTACGTGGTCTTTCCTTGTGGGGTGTGCACGCCGGCGTGTGTGTGCGTGTGTGTGTGTGTGTGTGTGTGTGTGTGTGTGTGTACATGCACCCTAATCTTCTCTTCGTGGATTAGGGCCTCCTGATGACCTCATTTAACTTCTTTAGTGGATTAGGGCCATCCTAATGACCTCATTTAACTTCTTTAGAGACAATGTCTCCAAATACAGTCACATGCTGAGGTCTTCGGGGTGAAGGCTTCAGCATAAGAACTTTGGAGTTGGGGGACACAATTCAGCCCACAGCACTACCTTGCTTACATCGCCAGAGCTGGGTTAACACAGGCTGGCAGGTGGACAGAAAACCACTGACAACAGCCTCCCGGTGTGGTCTTCAGAGGATAGGACAGGATACGACAGCAGTTGAGCATGCGATCATGAAGTCTGAATGCAGCTGGACCCTCATGTGTGATCTGCGAGAAACCCAGCCCTTCACCCCGTGGGGGGTCCCCAGCTAACATTGGTCCAATTCACATCAGCACGGGTGTGGGTCACCCGTGAGGAGGCCAAGGCCACAGCCCAGAAGAGAGAAGGACGTCGAGGGAGATGGCAAGTATGTAGTCTCAGGATAATTAAGAATTTCCCTTTTTGAGTGTGACATCAGCAAGATGGCGATGGAGGACTCCCCTGCTTCTCTTCCCAACAGACTTTCAACAGCGTCCGGCTTACCATCCTGAAAATCCCAGAGCTCAGGAGTGACTCTGTGCCCCCCCCTTGGACCACAGAGCCAAGAAAAACCATGATCAGGCGGCAAGGGAAGGGTCATGAAACAACGCCCTCCCCCAGATCCCAACACACACAAGAGTCTCCGGAAAGTTCGGTTTCCACGAAGGACGAGGCTCATGGGAGATGGGCCATTGGTTCCCACCAGTTCTCCCACCATTCTTTGCAGGAGGCTCACTCCTCTTTTCCCACAGCACTGTGGAAAAAGAGGATGCACTGTGTGTACCGGCAGGGTTAGCCCCCCAGGGGTCAACAAGAATTTCCTTCTCAGCTGGCTTGGTGGCTCAGCCCGTTATCCCAGCACTTTGGGGGGCAAAGGCAAGCGGATAGCCTGAGCCCGCGGGTTTGAGACCGGCCCGGGCAATTTGGTGAGACCTTTTCTCTACAATACGTCAAAAATTAGCCGAGCGTGGTAGCGCGTGCCTGTCGTTCTGGCTACTTGGAGAGCTGAGGCAGAAGGATCACCAGAGCCCAGCAGGTCAACGCTGGAGTGACCGTGAGCGTGCCACTGTACTCCAGCCTGGGCGACGGAGCGAGACTTCAACTCAAAAGAAAAGAATTTCCCTTCTCAAAGATGAAGTGGTGGCTCCGCTGCCTACCAAATAGGCTTCTGAACCTTTCCTAGGAGCAGAGCCACATTTTTGCATCAGAGCAGAGACACCATGGTAGCAGGAGGGGCGGCGCTTCTCCCAATCCCAGAAACCTACATGCCTGTAG